ATAGCTCTTTTTTTTCGAATTAGAAATATTTCCTTTTGCTAAAAATTGATTAAAATAAGGAGTCAATAGAAATAAAAAGTGAAATATAACTTCCTATTTTTCTCACTCTCCCAGCACGTGTCACAACGTTATTGACACAATCAACAATCTTTCGTTTTTTGATTTCATAAATGCTCATTTGTGGAAGTAAAATGAAACTGATCACAAGTTATTTTTATAAAGAATGTCTCAATAATATAAATAAGTCTGATTTGTATATTTAAAACTAGTTTAATAAATAAGCTACTTGAAACAATAGTTTTGATTTAATTTTTTTTTTTGAGGAAATATAATGCAACAAATACGAGTCTCCTGCAATTACTACTGCATTGTACAAGTAACAGAATCAAAGATAGTTGCGAAATAATTGCTTTATATAGAGGGGTTAAAGAGACACACCGAAACGAATTTTTATTCGGAAGTAAGCCACGTGATTGTTATGAAGGGTTGCAAATCAAAGAATTAATGAAACTGTTTATTTCTTTTGAACACACTTCAGTCAAGAGCATTTATCTATTCATTATCTCTGAATGTCATTTACTTCTTTTTTTCCATTATCGAATTATCTCATACACGTCTAACTAATTTCAAGTAGGGTGATGTAAAAATATAAAGTGATTGTTTTGTATGACTAAAACCCAAAGACGAGGCAAAACATATTGTGCACCAGTAATTGAAACGTGTGATTGCTCTCATGATACCACTTTCTCCGTATCAATTGTACATCGTGGGAAATTAAACCCTCAAAAAAAGTCAACAATTGCAGAAGTCATTCGAATCAAGATTTAGTTATTAGAAGGACTTAAATGATCATATCGTCATAGAATTACTTGATTGTTTGGAAAAAATGGAAAGACTTAATTGATGTTTACAAAACACTAAATTTGATGGGTTTTAAAAATTACATCATAGTTTATTTATGTCTAAAATATTTATATTGAATGAACATGAATTACTTATGTGAGCAATTAAAACGTAAATTTTTTTTTATTCAAACCAAATCTCAAATACTTGTGT